AATTTATGGCATGAAGCAAGCACCTAGGGCTTGGTATAATACACTCAAAGGCCATCATCTCTACATGGGATTTGTCAAGACCGAATTTGATAACTCCTTATTGGTTAGGATCAGCCACGCCGGTTTCATGTTCATTTTGGTATACGTCGACGACATCATCATCACGGGCAGCAATCCTATCACTGTGAATGAGGTTATAGCTTCTCTTGCCTCTCGCTTTTCAATTAAAGATTTGGGAAACCTTCATTATTTTCTTGGTGTTGAGGCGGTTCAAAGTTCTGATGACATTATTCTCTCTCAAGAAAATTATGTCAATGAAATTCAAAGTGTTGAATTGATGTCTAATTGCAAAAGTGCTAAAAGGGCCGTTCGGAACACAAAGTATTCCGTATTTACGCAGAGGCCGAAAAAAGACAGCACTCTAAGGAGTGTAATGTAGACAACCTACCCTAGTGATGAAACCAATGCATAAAAATAGAAATCTCAAATTTTATTACATAAAACAAATGATGAAACACGGTATGACAAATCTTTCAAGAAACAGAGAGGAAAACAAGAAAGGAATTAGTACACATGCAATATGCCATTATTTAGCTGTGTGTGGAAATGATATGATATGCTTGGGTGGTGAACATGTGTTTGTTTCATATAATCACAAAAAGAGCTTCAGATTTCAGAACAGAAGTTTCCCACCTTAGATTGTACGTACAAAATGATACATACTCCGTATAATTAATTGTTTTCTCCTTTTTTTCTTCTTCTTTTTGTATGTATATATGGAAGAAGAAAATAAGACAAAATGAGAAGAAAAACCCCAGAAACAGACCCCAACATGTGCAAAAAGTAGTCTATATTTTGACATATTCCTAATAATTATATTTTGATAAGGATCGGATTACTTCTTTTTCAGTCACGAGATTCATTTTTCAGTTTTTTGTTGGCATAAAACAATAAGAGTGAATCAACAAATAGAAAGTAAAATGCTGACATAATAAATTGTAGAACCTTAAAAAATTGTCCCTTCCTGCGTCCCAATTTATGTGAGCGTCTTTAGTGGGCATGTAATTTAAGAAAGAAACTAAGAGTTTTGAAACTTTGTGGTATAAACAAATTATAAAAATTTGTGTGATTATAAATTATCTCATTAAAGGTAAAATAAAAAGTTTAAAGTTAAAATATTACTACTCCCTCCGTTCCAATTTATGTGAACCTGTTTGACTGGGCACGGAGTTTAAGAAAAAATGAAGACTTTTGGAATTTGTGGTCCTGAACAAGTTAAAAAGGGGCCCAAGATATTTGTGTGGTTATAAAAGCTTCTCAGTAAGGTTAGAATTGTAAGTTTAAGCTAAATTGCCTCCAAATTTAGAAAGGGGTCATTCTTTTTGGAACGGACCAAAAAGGAAATAGGTTCACATAAATTGGAATGGAGGGAGTATTAAATATAAAAATCCATAATTCTTTTTTGAACTGACTAAAAGGAAAAAACATCACGTAAATTCGGATAGAGAAAAATACTATAGTAACGAGTATAGACCCATCTTATTGATTCTAAGCATGAAATTTCCTTGTTTTATTCCTGATTTTTTTTTAAAATTTAGAATATAAGGACACCCAAGAATTTACTAGGAAGGTATACAAATAATTAATTATCTGATAATAATCTCTTTAAATGAATTCACGATAAGGATAGATGTCAACGACTCGATAATGTGTTATGCCTTTGTTTTTGCCCAGAATTGCGTCTCATCATTTGACGCAATATGTTGGACTTGCACATGGTTTGTTTCTCTTTTTCATTGAAATCCAAAGTGACTTAAATGTGATTACCATCCATTAAAATTAGTATTCATTAATTAGGTGATTTACATTCACTAAGTTGCAAAAATAAAATGTTACAATTCTATTCACCTTGCTTTGTAAAGCTAATTACATCAAATAGGAGTAATTTTTACTGAAAAATGCTTGAAATTCAAGATTTCACACTTGTCACATATATTGCTTACAACATAAGGTTTAGATTATAGTCTTGGAGAAATGAAAACCCAGTGATTGGAGCAAGATACCAAATAATAGATTGTTCTTGCAGCTGAATCATTGGGATTTTTTTTCATAACCTAAATATATATAGAAGACCATATTCACCGAAAATAATGGAAAATAACATCAATTTGGGACAAGAAGTAAAATCTTAGCACGAACCTCTATAGCACCATACTCAAGCTTAAATACAAGCTGAGTTGTGATAATAAACGACACTAAAAAAACAACCTGGTACATTAAGCTCCTTTTATATGTGATTTACGAAAAATCCTGTCAACTAACAACTTTTCTAATATTGTCTTATTCTTTACAGTTTCCTTGTATCCACAAAATTGCATAGCCATATTAGATGCCGATAAGACTCAATAATTGTTACATATCCACATTGGTACTGTCTTAAATGCTATGGCTAGTGAATAGTGACAGGAACAAAAGAAATGCATGCTTTTATTAGACGAGGGGAATTAGATTCTTATCCTAAAAAGGGTAAAAGTTGAAAAATATCAACTTATTGATTCATAGTCCATACTTTAAAGTTGGCTTGTTCATTGGAAAATGACACCCTATTATTAATGGCGGAGCCAAAAATTTTATTAAGAGGTGTCAAATATAAAAAAATAAATGCGGAAAAAATAAGGGGAGTCAACATATAGTATATATAAACTATAATTTACACATGCAAAATTCTTTAGTTTCTCAATTACTTTATTAATTGAATTAGCCAAATATAGTACGTTGACATAATCATTTTCAGGCATTTACTCTTATTTGAAAGAAAATTTTAGTTTATAACACATTTTTTAGTAATATATATATTAATCCTTTTGAGCTTTATACACATTTATATAGGGTACACGCGCGCGTGCCTAAAGACTAGTATATATATATATATATATATATATATATATATATATATATATATATATATATATATAAAAAGAAATCACTAAAATTTCAATAGATATCAAGTTCCGAACTTATAATTACGAAAGGTGTAATGAACTCAACGGTGAAAACACAAAAGTTGAACTCATAATATTTAGCCTTGGGCACCTTGAAATAGTTGTTCCAGCACTGAATCTTGAATTAGAATATCAAATTTGATAAAAGTAACGCATAAAAAAAATTAAAAACCCTATGTTAGTAATTGGGATCAACTTTTTGTGGACAGGCACTTGGTTACTTCCGACAACTGAATTACAACTAATCTCAGAAATTTATAGTTAAGCATTTCTTCTGTAGTTTGTAGAAAAGGTAAGTAGATGTAATAAAGAAAAAGAAATAAAGGGAAATTGAAGCCAGCTCTAAAGGAAAGAGAAATGATTGGTCATTTTCTGGCCCCAAATACTAAACCTCACTCCAGCTTGGGTTTTGGAACCCAAAGAGACAAGCTGGCTAGCATTTGAAGCAGTAAATGCTGTGTAGGGAAAAAAGAGGCCCCTGAACTGCTGGCACTGCCACCACTTTTGGATATATATCAAAAGTATTTTTTGAATTTATGATATTAAATACGTCATGATATTTCAATGATTAAAAGAAAATTTCATCGAGGATAATATAGAAAGTTTAAAGTTAAAGAGTTAAAGAAAAGTAGATAACTGTTTTATTATTATACAAAGCAATCAGTTCTTTTGATCTTACTTGGCCTTCGAAAAGCTTCCTTTTCCAATTCCAGAAGTGGAGGAGCCTATATAGAAGAGCATCACCACAGTTCAAGTCCCAAACACATAAGGGGATTAATTCAGTTGCAAGGTTCGTGACTCAAGGAAGAGAAGAATGAGACCATAATTAGGAAATCGCCTCTGAACCGAGATCTAGATGGCAACCTAATCGAGTATGTCATAATTGAGTAAAGGAAGACCCATCCCTCCAGAGCCAAAACAAGGCCGATCTCTCCACTACCAACACAAGTGAATATATAAGAAAACACCACATCATCAAAGGTGACAGTATTACCGTCTACAAGTCGAGTGACATTCTTTTTAGAATAAACTAGCAAGGCATATGTGTTACATAAAATGAAGCAGAAAGAAGTATATTTTAGAGCTTATGTTCGAACTGACAACATAAAGAATTTTTACACTATATGTTTAAATTGATCTACAACCATATGTAACTCTCCATATCAAACTCGATACTCTAAGTTAAAATATAGAATACTCCCTCCGGTCCACAATAAGTGACCAATTTGTTTGTGGCACGCCCATTAAGAAAATACTAAATTCTATACGAAGATACCTAGTATGACTAAACTACCCCCAATTAGATATTTAATGTGAGGAGTAAGAAAACTTTTTAGGGATATGTACATAAGGGTAATTTTGTAAAAATAAATTGAATTCTCTCTTGATTATATAAATGAACACTTATTTTGGCCAAAATAAAAAAGCAAATTGGTCACTTATTGTGGACCGGAAGGAGTAATAGTCTACTGTAAATAGTTAAATCGCATTGATAATATAAAAGCTCTTTACCGTGTTAATAAGTATTAATTATTCTAACCAACAAAGGTTGTGGTGTAGTCGTAACTACTCCTTCATCCTTAACCAGAGGTCTCGGGTTCGAGTCCCTGTGTATGGAGTCATCTTTGTTAGGGAGAGTCTTACCCCCCAATGTGGGACTTCCCGGCGCGAATCCGAATTTAGTCCGGCCCCAATATGGATACGGACACCGGGTGAGAAACCAAAAAAAAGTATTAATTATTCTAATCCTTGCAAATGCAGATGCAGATTCGAGGAAGGTTTGTGTCACTATCATCCTCGTGGTTATGTTAAACAAAAGAAAGTGCCCCTCACAAGATGGCACATCCCCAACTCCTCCATGTTCCAAAGTTAACAACTTCCCTCATACATGTTCCTTACCCCCCCCCCCCCCACAAACCCTGCCAAACCACCCCCCACCCCACCCAACCCCTTCCCCTTCTTTATAAAATCCCCCTCATTTTTTCCTTAATTAAACAAAATCAAGTGTCTCAGCCTAATTCATTCTTCTTCCTTCTTACACTCTTTAACACATTCTTGTATCAAGAAAGCAAAACTAGCCAAACCCCTTACCAAAATGTGTTCTTCCAAATCTAAACAACAAAGAGGGAATGTTGAAATTTCACCTCAAACAATCTCTCATATCAATGGACGCCCTGTTTTTCAACCATATAGCAATAGAGATCCTCTCTTAGAACGCCACAATTCCCTTAAAAAATCATCTTCCAAAACTTCTCCTACTCCAACAACTAATACTTCTCCTTCAAAAATCAAAATTTCAGCAACAACTTCTCCTATTTCACCTAAAATCAAGAGAGTGGGTGATTCTAACATCTTGAATATAAGTACTGAGAAAATTGTGACACCAAAAAGCAATGCTAAATCCACTAAATATGTGAAGAATTCTTCTTCTTTTAAGATTCTTGAGGTTCCGGGAAGCATAGCAGCAGCAAGAAGGGAACAAGTAGCAATGATGCAAGTGCAAAGAAAAATGAAAACTGCACATTATGGTAGAACAAATTCTGCTAAATATGAAAATAGAGTCACCCCTCTTGATTCTTCCAATACTTCAAGTCCTAGAGAGGGCAAAAGGTGCAGCTTTATCACACCTAATTCTGGTAATGACAACTTCACTTCTATCTTTTAATTTAGGAAATATGATCAAGAATACTCCTATATTATACATTTTAAATTTCGTCATATTTTTATATTTACTGTTATCCTAAATATTCTGTTTGTTCTATTTCTAGACCCTGTCTATATTGCATACCATGATGAGGAATGGGGAGTTCCTGTCCATGATGATAAGTAAGCACATTTTCCCACTTTTTTGTACATTTTACCTACAAAGTTTAGGTTTTATATACACTAATGTTAAATTCTATGTACCTGTATTTAATAAGAGTATTCATTGGTAACCTAAAATATATTAATAAATAATCTGTTTTGACATGTTATATTACACCAATGATCGCATAATTTTCTTTTTATACGCCGTTGGTGTATATAACTTAAATTCCTTACATATTTATCAAATAATTTGGGGACTAATTTCTTTATTTTGTGTTGCAGTCTGCTATTCGAATTGTTGGTATTAACTGTTGCTCAAGTTGGATCAGACTGGACTTCGGTGCTAAAGAAAAGGCAAGATTTTAGGTGAGTTGTTGCTTTACCTAAAAAAAAATAAAAAATAAAGCAGCCTGGTGGACTAAGCTCCCGCTATGCGCGGGGTCCGGAGAAGGGCCGGGCCACAAAGGTCTATCGTACGCAGCCTTACCCTGCATTTCTGCAAGAAGTTGTTTCCACGGCTCGAACCCGTGACCTCCTGGTCACATGGGCAGCAATTTTACCGGTTAATCCAAACTCAGCTCAGATTGTCTTTAGCTGAATTTGGCTTGTTCTTTCCTCCAGGAATGCCTTTTCAGGATTTGATCCAGAAATTGTTGCAAAATACAATGAAAAGAAGATAAATTCAACTAGCACTGATTATGGCATTGAGCTAAGCCAAGTCCGAGGTGTCGTCGACAACTCTAAAAGAATTCTAGAGGTAATAATACAATATTCACATTACAAATTACCACAAAATAACCATTGAACTGTCTTTTCCATTTCAATTTGTTCTTCTTCTCCTTTGTTTCCAAACATTTCTTTTAACTTGCTAGTTGCTACTACTTGATATTATGGTATAGTAGTAGGAATGGTAGATGGGAGAGCTCTCAAATTAATTCATTAAATACACTGCCTGTAGTCAATCATGCATGTAGCTAACACCACTTAATAAACATATACACATGGACCACATTGGAATTGGAATAACACATCTGGCCTTGGCCTTGACTCAGTCAAAAGATTGACCAAATCTTATTAGGAGACCAGGGATATCATCCCGGTCCGATGTGGGAGTCATTCCATTCATCACCTCCCCTCGCGCCCAGAATTGGATATTCGTTCCACTGTCCGGTCTAGAGCGTGCACAATAATGAACTGGGGGTATCTCCACCCCCTTCAATTGGTTCGGGGGCATTTTGCTCCCTCTTCTGGGGGGCCATATCGACCACGGGCCTGGCTTTGATACCATGTCAAAATAAGCGTTAGGCCTAACTCACACCCCAAAAGCTAACTCGAAGGGGGGAGGATTACCCAAGCCTTATAAGGAGACCAAGTATCTCATCTCGGTCCGACGTAGGATTCATTCCATTCATCACACTTCAACATGGTCTAGAGAAGGCAGATGTTACCACCATCTGTTATAAAATAAATACGTGTTTGGCCAATAAAAAAAGAATATTCAGGCATATGCACGTGAAAGGTGGCCGAATACCTACAACAAAGAAAAAAATAAAAGATGTTTGAGGCTTAAGGGAAAGTAGACTATCATAATGTTACATGCTTGTGATTAGGGGCGGCAAAATGGTTAAAAGAAAACAGTTAACCACCCATATTATCCACTAAAAAATAGGTTGGATAATGAACTTTTTAAAAACGGGTCAAATATGGATAAGACCCGTATTATCCATTCAGAAAATGGATAACCGATAGGTCTAACTTTTACATTTGTAAAGCCTCAAATTGGGGGTTTCTCAAGTTAGGGAAACTAAGAATTTCCAAAAGTGATCATACGCAAGAAATCATGGATAATATGGTTACCCATATTATCCTCCGGTTAACCCGTTTTTTATCCGTATTAAATATGAGTCGGGTCGGATAATTTATCAGTTTTTTCATTACCCGTTTTCGACCCGAACCATATTCGATCCGACCCGCCCGTTTGCCACTCCTACTTGTGATTCTTATTTTAAATATGGAAAAACATATACATTAGGATGCTTGAATTCTACTCTGAAGCATATATATATAAGCAAATCTTATGCCTAAAAATCACATTATAATCCTCTGATGGTTTCGTCTGATTCTTGATTCGATTTACAGATCAAGAAACAATTTGGGTCGTTCGACAAGTATCTGTGGGGATTCGTGAACAACAAGACCATCGCAACACAATACAAGGCCTGTAACAAAATCCCAGTAAAGACCTCAAAATCAGAAACAATGAGTAAAGATATGGTGAAAAGAGGGTTCAGATATGTTGGCCCCTCTGTTATACATTCCTTTATGCAGGCAGCTGGTCTTACTAACGACCACCTTATCACCTGTCCACGACATCTCCAATGTGCTGCCCTCCCAACTCAACCACCTATTATTCAATGAAAATTTGACCTACTAACTTCAGAAAATATATTGTACTCTACTTTATAAGCCATTGACTTAAGGGGAGTCTTGGAGCAATGGTCAAGTTGTCTCCGTGTGATCTATAGATCTCGTGTTCGAGCCGTGAAATCAGCCATTACTGCTTGCATCAGGGTAAGCTGCCTACATCATACCCCTTTACAGTGCGGCCCTTCCCAAGACCCTGCGTGAACGCGGGATACTTTATGCACCGAGTTGCCCTTGACTTAACTACTAGTGATCGAAAAGTTGGTAAAGCAACTAGCTGATTGTAATACATATACCCTAATTAGTTTTTTCTTTTTCCTCAAAGTCCTGTTTGTTATGTGATTATTTTAGAGGCGTGGGAAGTGATATATTTTGATGATGGAATCTTTAGTAGGTGTTTGTACAGTACTTGGTTCGTGTAGCTGAAAAAAAGAGTATTGAGATTGAAGTTGAAAAAGAGTATTCGGAAGTTTGCGTTTGTACCAGAATTTCACTTGAAAAAAAGGGTTGCCTATTTGTCAATGAAAATTATTTTTTCACTTAGAAATACTCCTCCATGAGTTTACAATATTTCACCAACGTTTCAAATACTCAAGTTCAATAATTGCAAATTTGTTGGAATGTTAAATAATCATTTGGATAATATTTGATTGAAGTTGAATAAAGAGTGTGTAAAGTTAAAGTAGAGAAAATGTATGAGAAGTATGATTTTGTTATGTTCGACACACTCTTTGACAAAGAATATAAATTTATGATTGAAAACCAATGCTCGATCTGAAATAGTTCAATCTCTTCAATGCAACTTCAGAAATCAAATATGAAGTTCTCCTATTTTTCTACTGCAACTTCAGAAATTCAAATCTTAAGTAATTCAAGCTCTTCAAAGCAACTTCTTCTATCTTTCAATTGCAACTTCAGAAATTCGAATCTTAAGTAGTTCAATTTTGCAATACAATTTCAAGCAACTTCAGATTCAAATTCAATACAACTTCAGAAATATTTAGTAGTTCAATCTTTCAATACAACTTCAGACAACTTCATATTCAAAATCTGAAGTTCTGAAACATAAATTTGTTCTTCGAATTTCAACAGTCCAACACACGATTCAATGCCCAAATCTACTCTAAATGAACTCAAATTTGAAATATAACTTTCAAATATCATAAAGAATAAATCCCAATAATCAAAATTGTTAAAACAACAACAAATTTAACAAACTCATTTTGCAACTAAGAAGAAGAAAGCAGCAGTGAAGAAGAAGAGAAAAATATATGTATCTGAATTTACTAAAATATTGGGTATTAGTTAAACTTTTTTTAAAAATACAGTCAAGAAGTTGCAACATCGATCGCCACTAGATCACAATCAAAAAGTTGCATTGAACTTATGACCTTATGAAGGTTTTGAACCCCCTTAAACACTAAACTACACTTTTGAGTTGTATTAAGGGGGTTCAAAACTTAATATATAGAGGTAAAATTCAGATTTTGCTCTATATATATAGTGTAATTTTTCGGCGAAGGGAGTTCGAGTGAAGCCTCTTCCGCCCCTAAATCCGCCCCTGCTTCCCACCCCACCACTATTCTTAATTAGCGTGCTTTTCAACAGTTTGTTGTTCTTTCAAGGATAAACTTTAGAACAGAGAAGCAGCCTTCGGCCAGCCTTTTCATTTCCCTTTTCGGCTCTTTGATCATGTGGATAACTATTATCTGCGCCCCTTCTTTATTGGTTACTTTCTGTCAATAAGTGTAGGGAAAGAAATTATGTATACATTCTTTATGCTTGCAGGCTCAGGATTTAATATTTATGGGTTCGGGATTTTAATCCTTTTAAATTATTCGGTTCTAAATTAATAATTTATATATATTCAATAGAAAGTGACTGGGTTTGGCCAAACCAATACTCGATGAGTTGGCTTCGCCCCTGCTCAAAGGCTTACCTACTTGTACCATTAAGGGTCATCGGACCCTGTAAATTTCAATAAAAATACTATATATGTCTATACCTTAAAAAATGATTATACAACTAACTTGGCACCGTGAACATAAAAGCCTTTAAGGAACACCGATTAAAAAAATAATGGTATACTAACATTTATCCAGGGGCGAAGGTACATAGCCCTAAGGCTGGTCAACTTGATCACCCTTCGTCGAAAATTTACACTGTATATATAGGTAAAATATTATTAATGGTATATGACATATATAGAATATCCTTTATCGGGAATTTTTTCCACTTATTTCAAGTTTAAACGCTCTAAATGAAATTCCTGGCTTCGCCACTGCATTTATGCCTGTGCACATGCACATGGACGTGGTGACATATAGCTTTTTCAATGCTTTTATTAACACCATTTGGCAGTGGAATTAGAAAATCTAATTGGTCTATAACCAGTTTTGTTTTACTATACACATACATAAATTGAAAGCAATTTTATAATTGATTTATCAGAGAGAACTGTAACAGAAATACAAAGGAGTCTAGGCAAAACAACGTCTACAGTCTCTAATTTCTCTCACTTTTCTAGAATTGCTTAAATCAAATACCATAGGGTAGATGTAAATGATTACTACATTTTTTCCCTACAAACAATGTGCATGTATATAACAGGCTAACACTGCTTGAAAAATGTAGAATGAATATCAATTTTCTAAAACTCCAATAGCATCATACTCAAATTCATGTACAAGTTAAGTTATGATAATAAGTTAACCTTCAGCTCTCATTGATCTATGCCCCATATTGCCCGCCAACTTTGTTTCGGACAGTAGCAGAGTCAAGAATTCAATCAAGGAGATTAAAATAAGATTCCTTATAATACTAAGTGGATTCAACTATTTATATATGTTTACCTCGAAAATACGAGTAACAATTAAATTTGATTTGTGGTTTTAAAAATATGTGATTTAGTTCAATACCAATTAATAATCAAGAAATATGAAGTAGAAATGAGAGATAGAAGTGAATCAAACCAATGTTACTTAGTAGCAGTGACCTCGAGACGGTGACATCGAGGTGGCTTAGGGCAGTAAGAACAGTCAAGCAGGAAAATCAAAGTAAGAATAATTAAGCTAAGGGACAATTCTAATGAACAGCAGGCAAAAAGTAGAGAGTATATTCTTTGCTCAGTAAAAAGAAGGTCTTACAAATGATTGGGATCCCCTTTATATAATGGGGGAAACCCTAAATAAGGAATATTTCCATTTACAGTAGGGAATATTCTTGGTACAACTGTCTAACCGTCTAGTATGGAATTGTACAATCCTATTCCGTGATTTCCGCTATGACTTTGGGGACGTGGCACGAATCTAGCTTGCTCTGGTACAAATCCATAACGGTACTATTTCGAGGTCGAGCATACTTGACGTCGGCATTCCTCGAACTCTTGCCTCCGGGCATTACACTCCGTCTTCGAGCTTGAGCCCGGTCTACCGGTTTCGCATTTGACCTCTCCCGGACTCGAGCCTAGGGAGGAACCTCGAGCTTATTACATCGGGGGCATATGATTTTGACCGTATACAGATAGTCCCCGCGTTTCTTAGAATAAGATAATAAGAAACGATTTGCACCTCGACCTCCCCGAGCTTCTCATGATGATGTCACGCTCGTGACGTAGGTGCTTGAAATGACCGGAAGTGTCAGGTCGGCGCTCTTCCCCAAAACATCAAACGCGTGTCAGTGTTGGTTGGCCACTAACGCCGTCGATCTGTCGTCGCCTTTCTATAAATAGGAGGTTATTCTGTTAAACAAAGAACTGTACTTTTCTCATCTTTATCTACTTTTGATCTTTTCTCTTCTTTGCTTCCTTCTTTAATCGTCCATTTCCTTGGTTCAAACCTGCGAACAAAAGGTCATATGGCAGCAACTTTACCAGTTATGTCAAGGTTCACTTTTTCAAAGCTTCGGTTCGAAACAATGCGAGAAGGACGCCGAATCCTTCCTGCATCAGAAAATATGCGAACTTTACACTCCTGCTCATCTCTCTTAACGTCAACCTAGTGTAGCACTTCATTCCTTTTGCTCTCCATGGAATGAGGTGGCACTATCGTCTACTAACTTTTGTATCCCACCCTGGAACAATGTTCCAAAAAATTCTTGGATCGTTGCTCGTGCATCTTGCAACCCTTTTGATTTTTCTTGTAATAGAAGGTGAATCTACATCTTCTGGTCTTTTCTTTTGCGGCTCTTTTTAACGGACTATGTCCCAAAATTTCAACGCAATGCTCAATCCCCGTTGCTAGAAATATAGTTACATTCATCGAGGGTTTTCTGCCCTAAATCTCTTCGGGCGTACAGACATTTTCAAAGATCAAAAGCGGAGTCCCCGGGGAGGAGGTTCCCGAAGATGTCGCTCTCGAGAACGCGATCTTAAAAGTAGATTAGGCTCTTGGCCTTTGTTTCTTGCTTCTTTGTTCCTGCGTGAATACCCTTCAGGGATATTGTAGTTATATTTTGTAACCATCTCTTGTAAATATAAAAGGATCTCCTTGTCTTATTTTTGGCTCGTGTTGAATTTTCATTCCATCTTTATCTACAAAAAAATTCGATTGCATAACTTTGGTGACTGGCCCGAACATTGAATTCAGAAAATAATAAACCCTTAGGTTTTTTATCGATTAATATAATACCCTTTAAGGTTCTTGTTAATCCTCGAGCTGAGCTCAGATCGATTTGATGCGAATTTGGAACATCAGGATTCCCGAGTCCGGGTAGATGAGAACGTGATCTCGAATTTGAAATAAAGTTATCCCTTAGGCTTTTCAGTAGTCCCCGAGTGAGAAATTTCTCGAACTCGGGTAGCCCTTGGGCCGGGTAATCGAGCTAGCATTTGCTCGAACTAGAAATGAGTCGATAAAAATGGATTAATCTCCGACATCTCGATTCTGGTGCCAATCTCATGACATCAGCGGCTGAAGTGACTGAAAGGTTGCTTTTTGTGCGGTTCCCAAAGTCATTAATTGGAGGCGACTGACGGTCGGCCTTTTGGCCTCCCAAGTACGGTTAAATGACCTCTATCAATAGATAAACTTCATAACTTCGTAAACTTTATTCTCATATTGTTCTCAAAGTCTCTTTAGCTCCTTCAATTTCTCTGAATTCATCCTTCTCTTCTATCTCACTATCAACACTCTCCATTTTCTTTGAATTTCTGCGTCGTGATGGCTAAAACCTCTGAACCGGTTCCCCAAAAAGAAAAAGCTTCTTCATCTTCTCGACCGACCAAGAGCAAAAAGTTAGTGCCCCTCGTATTAAGGAGTGTATCCCCCCGCCATGTGAAATAACATTCGATTTCAAAATCGAGAAACCTGTGTCGACACCAGGCCGATGCGAGCCCATGTCTCGATATGTTTGCTTGATAACCAAGGTCGAGCTTGTACAAGTAAAGGAGGACTGCAAGTGTGAGAAAAAAGAAGTAGTGATTCCTTCCTCCGAGGAGGACATCACTACATATAAAGCGGGGTACTTGAGCGTATATACCTACCTATTCACGCTGGGTCCTGTAATTCTGGCTCAGGGTCCCATATCCAGTTATCCTTGACTTT